TGATCCCCGGCCTGCCAGCAGAGTCAACGTCTTAGTACATTCAGGTAATTAAAAATGTTTTAAATGTTTATGCTTTCAATGTTTCATAAGTGTTATATTTAAGGCTTTTATGTCTGGAAACAAGTACATTTTTTCTTTCTTTAAAATTCTTATTTATTTATTATTATTTGGGGAACTGGGTCTAATGTACCGCAGGCTGTCCTTGAACTCACTACGTAGGCGAGGCTGACCTTGAACTTCTGATACTCCTGTCACCGCCTCTCATAACCATGTATTCCTTTTAATTCTGGTAATATTTCATGATTTTACTTCATATTTTTGAAACACCTAATTTTAATGTTTACATGGTGTTTTAATACTATATACATAGTGAAATGATTACACAACAACCAAGCTTGTTAGTATTCCACTGACACTTCACTGTATTTTTTTTGTTATGAATACTGAATATCTACTCAGCAAATTTCAAGAATGCATGGCATTATTACTGCACTATAGATACAGTATAGTGTATTAGTTTTCCTGAACATATTAATCTTATAACTAAAATTTCATAACCACTGACACAAATGTCCCCATTTTCCCACCCCCATCCCCTGACAGAAACTTCTGTTCTCTGCTTTTATGAACTGGACTCTTTGGGATCATGTAGTATTTGTCCTTGTGTACCTGGCTTGTTCTACTTAGCATAATGTCTGTGTTCACTCACATCATTGCTGATGGCAGGGCTCTCTTCTTCCGTGAGGTTGAGTAGTATTCCATTGTGTCTATGTACTCCACATTTTCTTTGTCCCTCTACCCACTGATGGGAGCTGAGGTTCTGTTCTTGTCCATTCTCTTCTGGATACTGCCACAGTAAACACCGATGATATCTCTTTGAGATACCGATTTCAGTGCCTTTGGATGAGTGCTCAGAAGTAGACTTGCTGGTTCATACAGTGAGCTCTATTTTTAGCTCTTTGGAAGAACTTTGAGACTGTTCCCCCACAATGCCTGCATTAATTTAAGGTCCCTACTAACTGTGTACAGTCCTTTTATTCTACATCCTCATCAAGGCTAGATATGCAAGCATACCTAGCGGCTCTATACAGGGAGCACTGAGCTTTACTTTAAAAGTGTCTGATACACCTTTGTGACTACGCAAAGGCTAGGGAAGACACGTGCCTCAAACGTGTGATGCTTGTTGTCACATTCACAAAACAATCATAGTATTTGTTGAAAGTGTTGAAGTTTAGAGCATCAGAGGTAAAATGAAAATTTCCGAAACTTTTATCTATTATCTTGGGTTTGATGCCTTCCCAACAGTTGCCTCATCTTTCCTGATGATGTCCTTAGAAATGTTAACAAATGCAATTTTATGATATTATATTAAGAAGTGTGGACAGGGCTGGAGAGATGACTCAGAAGTTAAGAGCATTTGATGCTCTTGGGAAGGGCAGAGTTTGGTGCCCAGTACTCAATTTTCTGTAATTCTAGCTCCAGGGGATCCAATGCCCTCTTCTGGTCTCCTTGGGTAATTGCATGACTGTGACAGGTGTACACACACACACACACACACACACACACACACACACACACACTTTTTAAAAAGTTGTTACTATTTGGAATGTCCTCAGATCCTAATGAACAAGTACAGCTAATGACCAAATATTACAAAGTCACATAGAGGAAAGATCTACACAAAGTACCAAGTATAGGAATGGTGTTGGTAAGACAGTATGAAATGCTGGCAGTTTCTGATTCTACATGGCAGCTCACTGTCAGGAAGCTATCACTTCTTAAGTTTGGGTGTTAGTGTCTGTACTAATTTCCCTGAGGAACAGAAACGTCTTGCCTCACAGTTCTGGAGGCAGGAGTCCGAAATAGAGGTGTGAGTGGGACCATGCTTCTTTGAATCCCTAGGAGAAGGATTCTTCCTGTGCCTGCCAGCTCCTCATAGCCCTGGATGGCCCTTGGTTCGTGGCATCATACTCCCTGACTCTGCTCCATCTTTCCATAGCACTCTCTCCATGTCTTTTCATATATCTTCCCCTGCATCTCTACCTAGATGCCCTGCTTCCATGATATTAATTCTATAGGATTTGGACCCATTGCAATCACATCATCTGAACTGGTTAAATCTGTGATAACTGTATTGTCAAAGAAGATGTGTTTGGGAATACCAGGAGTTAGGACTTCATCATATTCTTTGGTGTGGACATTTACTAACCATTGCCATTACAAAGGCAGAATCTACCATATCAGACAAGGCAATACTTTTTTTTATGGCCAACCACATATCTGTGTCTGACCAGATTTATTCATAGACTGAAATCAAAATACCATTTCCTAACAGACTGAGTTTAAAAGCCCATATGAGAATTCAGCTGTCTTCTGTGAAGGTCAGTAAAGAGATTTTTGACAAATGTAAAACAGTGTGGTTGTGCTCATTGGCTTATTTTAGAAAAAAAATGAGGATTTTTCATAAAATATGTTATTAACAATATATGACATGCTTATTATTTCATTAACTACATTTTAAATTTATGATACGAAAAATATTGATAGATACAGACAAAACTTGATAAGATTTCTTAGTGAGGAGAAGCCTTTAATAGCTTTTCTAGCCTTTGTTTGTAGGGATAGTAACATGGGTGTTCAATAACTTCTCTGAAACTCAAATGTGTCTGAACTCTATTGTATTAGTGACTTTTCCCCATGCTGTGGGACCGAACAGTTGACAGAGACAACTTAATGGAAGAAAGATCTACTGTGGCCGGTGCCTGGTGCTCTCAGATGGCTCAGCCCCTTGTGGCAGGAAGGGCGTGCAGGAACGGGACCCTTCATGCCCTTGCAGGCCAGGAGGCAGGAAGAAGGGAAGCCACCATTGTTGGATCTTCCCTTTTCTCTTTTGGTACTATCTGGGTCTCCCATCCATGGGATGGTGCCATGAACCCTCAGGGTGGGTCCTTCTGCATTGCATTAATTTCTTCAGGATATGCCCTCACAGACACACCTGGAAGTGTGCCATAAACTCTGAGGTGATCCTAAATCCAGTGGAGTTGGAATGAAGACTAACAATTGTCAACTCCAGGAATGGTCTAGTTTATGGCTTTGTAATAGCTATATTTTGTCTGGTCCATAGAATCCCACCCTAGAAATAAGTGGTTTAGAATTTAGGAAAGGACTCCAGTGAACCCATATGCAGATGTTGGCAGCCATTTTTCTGTGAAGCTTCCTGCCCTCTAGATCTCTGGTCTTCAAGTTCTGGTTGCTCCATGCTGTCTCTTGAGTTCTGTGTCCTCATCTGCTTCCAGCTTTGGGAAAGGACTCGGGAGAGAAAGTCTAGAGATTAGAAGACTCCTTTGCACTTCCCTCACAGGGATTACTCTCTCGTGCTGTCTTTGCCAGCTTCCTGGAAACATTTGTCTCAGGGTTGCCTCGGTTTTCTAGTTACATAAATCGCAAAGCCAGTATCTGTGCTGGCAAGTGTCCTGTCAACCTGACCGGGTCTAGTTTCGCTTGGGAAGAAGAACCGCGATGGAGAAAATACCCCCACCAGCTGGTCGTGTGGGCATTTGTAAATTAATGATTGATACAGGCAGGCTCAGCTCACTGTGGGGAGGGCCACCCATGGCCTGGTGGTTCTGGGTGGTTTAAAGAAGCAGAGTGAGCAAGTCATATTTCCAGTCTTTGAGATTTCATTTAATTGTGCTCAGGTTATACTTTTAATTGCGAGCAAACACCTTTATCAACATCAAAATCAATTTACACAGAGTTTGCACTGTACTGAAAATATTAGTCTAATGGGCTTCAGATCAACTTTTCAGAACTACTCCTGTGTGATAAATAAAGATTCCCCCCCCTCAAGAAAGTACCTTATCATGCAGTAGGTATGTTAGAATGGATGGTTTCTTTCTTTTAATCTTCCTGAAGGAGACTCTGAGGTGAAGATTTAGTGGAAGTGGCTTATTCTTGGAACATGATTGCCAGAAAGATGGGGTGGGGGCGAGTGAGAAAATGTGACAGAAAAGAAAAATGGAGCCCAAATGTCGCCTGGCTGCTGCCGAGGCCAGCTGCAGGATCATCAGAAAACATGCTCACCGGTGATTCTACTACACAGTGTGGGAATCGGGAGACTCAGCTACCAGTTTCTGTCAGCCGCTGGCTGATGGCTGCTTCTGGGGAATGTGAATTCCAGTCTCTCACCTGAGAAGGCACAGTGGGATATGGAGACCAGAAAATACACACAGGGATTGGGAATCCGCAGATGGAAGTGTCTGCAGAAGTGGTAATGGATACGGAGGCTCCGACAGGACAAAAGTTTCTGCTACAGACAGTGATTTAGTTGAGGGTGGTCTTACACCTTCATTAAGAAGCAACCAACAGTTGCTGGCGAGAAAGCTAAATGGACTCAATAGGTTATATTGTGTGTATACATGTGTATACATACACACACAAACACACACATATATTCATAGAAATGCACACATGTATATATCCATATAACAATAATAAAAGAAAAGACCATGAATTTGCAAGGGAGCATGATAGGAATTGGGACAGGGTGGGAGGAGTGACAGAGATTCAGGGTTCATGTATGAAGTCCCCTCCAAAAAGTGTAAAAAAAATAAAATTAATTTTTCATCTCCCTATAAACATATGAACTTGAAGTTTGTCAATAATGCAAATGTAAAACGTGTCACAGGCATTAAAACAAAATGTAGATAAGTAAAAAGGAAGAAGAGGAGGAGGAGGGAGAGGAGGAAGGAGAGAAGGAGGAGGGAGAGGAGGAGGAAGCAGTGTGTCCCGCACGGACGTCTGAATAGTTGAGTTCAAAAGGCTTGTGTCAACCACTTTGATGTCATGTAACTTAAAAGTTTAAAGCGTTTACTTTTAATGACAAAAAAACGTTCTTTCCCTCTCCATCCCTGTTTATCTTGGAGTTTCATGAATGTTCTTCTTTATTTCCTGATTACAGGTCAGAGATAGAAATGTGTTGCCGCTCCTTACATCCTTACCTGCTGTAGTCTTCAACAGTAAAGCCAGCGTGGTCATCCATTCTTCTCAAAATTACCTTCCAGCGAGGTCCAGTAGACCCTTCCTCAATGGTGGAAACATTCCTTCCCTGTGCAGTATGGAGAACCTGGGCAGCCAAGAGCTGCCCATCAGTGTGGACACTGAGCACGTAAGGTTAGGGCTGATGTGCTGGGTGACACATCCTCCTGGGGCACTCAGTAAAAAAAAAAAAAAAAAAAAGCAGTCTTTGCAATGGCTGTCACCATCTCTGCCGGTTAGCGTTTTGACAATCTGATACAAGTCAAGGTCATTTGGGAAGAAGGAACTTCACTTGAGAAAATTCCTCCATCAGACTGGCCCGTAGGCAAGTCCGTGGGGGCGTTTTCTTGGTTAAGAGCTGATGTGGGACCCACAGTGGTCCAGGCCCTCCCACACTGGGCACCTGGTCCTGGGTGGTATACGAAAGCAAGCTATTTAGTAGCATTCTGCCCTGGCCTGCTTCATTTCCTGCCTACCTCCAGGCTCCTGCCTTGGTTTCCTGCCCTGACTTCTCTGGATGATGGATTATAAGCTGTCAGCTGAAATCAACCCTTTCTTACCCGAGTTGCTTTTGGTCATGGTCTTTATCACACCAATAATAGACAGCTGAGGAAGACACGACCTCTTCCACGCTTCTGGCCTCCACGCTTCCGGTCTCACTTCCTCCGCTTCCGGCCTCACTTCCTCCGCTTCCGGCCTCACTTCTTCCACTTGCCCCTCACTTTGTAGCAGCAGCACAGTCTTCTTGCTTGGCTTTGTTTCCCCCACAGGCTTCGTGTGTTCTCCGCTTTCGGTGTTCTTTCTTTAAATATCTCATGGCTCGGTTCCTCCCTTGCTTTAATTGCAGAGTTTAGAACATTTACATTTTGTGTGCTTATTGATTGAAATCTATGCATCGCCGCCTCCATGGACTGTTTGTTTTAAATTTGCACCATCTGTCCCTGGCTTCTTTTTTGGCCCCTTATTTTTCTCCTGCTTCCCCGCCCCCCTCAGTTTGCTAACACTTCCCCCTGGGATAACCTTGTATCTCTGATAGCTCGTTGACCTCTTTGTTCTGTAACCTCAGCGATTGTTTTGGGTTTATAATAGTCATCTTCAGTGGATCACATTCTAGCTTCAGATAACATTCCATCACCAGACGCCCCGCCGCACACAGTCACCTGCTCAATGTCACCTGCATGTAGATTCTTCTTCCTGGCCTTTGAGTCATACCTGCCACATGCATTTCTCCTGTATATGTCATGAATACTAAAATTTGCCATGATTATTTCTACTCTAAATAGTTAACTACTTTTCAGAGAAAATAAAAAATGAGATGTTTAGTATTTCTGTTGCCTTTTTTCCTTCTGTAGATTTAAGTTTTCCTTCTGGATCTGGTGCTATTTCTCTTCTGCTGGAAAAATTCCTTAAACAATTTCACTTACTTTTTTTTAAGATTTAATTTATTTTTATCTATGTGAGTGTTTTGCTTACATGTATGTACATGTACCACATGTGTTCCTGGTGGTCAGGAGGACAGGAGAAGGCATCAGATCCACCCCCACACACCCCTAGATGAGAGTTAGAGATAGGTGTGAGCTGCCTTATGGGTGCTAGGAACTGAACTTGGGTCCTCTGGAAGAGCATTCAGTGATCTTAACCTCAGAGTCATCTCTCCAGCCCCCCTTTTAATAAATCAGGTCTGCAGTTGACAACATCACTCAGTTTTCAATCATTCTGTTTTTCCTGTTCAATTTTTTTTGTTTTGTTTTAATTTTAGCTTGACGTACTTTTTTTTTTCTTTTAGCACTTTAAAGGTGTTGTTTTGCAGTGTCTTGGCTGGTTGAGCTTCTCCTGAGGATTCTGCTGTGGTTTCTATCCTTGTCTCAATTCATATAGACTTTTTGTATACACTCTGCTTGAGTTATTGAGTTTTCTGGATGCATGAGTAAAAGCTATCTAATTATAACAGGCTCTCTTAAGCTTTTTCTACTCATAACTGCTTTTTCACCAAAATATTTTAAGGTAGTCACAGATATATAAGTATCCACAGTAGATACAGCGTGTCAAATATTTATTGATAATAAATCATAATGAAATGTGTTTTAAAATAATTATTTCGTATACATGTAATTTTTATATGTAAAAGTAAAGAAGAAAGCAAGTTCACATATTGAGATAAATTTACTTGTTTATTTTTCTACAAAAATTAGTCTTAGCTGAATCTTTGACAGTACAAGAATATCATCAGTCATTTTTAGAGCTGACTGATGTTTTGAGTTCATAATCATCAATACTGGACAATGCCTTGTCACATAAATGTATAGTGGAATGGCTGAAGTAATCTCAAGGGTCATTCCAGAAGTTGTCAGAAATTCTGCTCTAATTCTAAGCTAATGTTCATTGAACAAATTTTTTTTTTTTTTTTTTTTTTTTTGGTTTTTCGAGACAGGGTTTCTCTGTGTAGCTTTGCGCCTTTCCTGGAACTCACTTTGGAGACCAGGCTGGCCTCGAACTCACAGAAATCCGCCTGCCTCTGCCTCCCGAGTGCTGGGATTAAAGGCGTGCGCCACCACTGCCCGGCTCCTCATACCCATGTCTCCCCATTCACAATACAGACCAGGCACAATGGCCTAGGCTGAGGTGTACATGGGGTAGGTTCATTCTGCCTCCTCTTTCTATACAGTCAGTGTGAACAAATTTTTAAAAACCAAAATTTAAAAGCAAACATTCTAGCATAATGCAGTCAAAGCTATAATAATTTGTTATTTATCCTCTGAGGCATGAAGGCAAGAAGATATAAATGTTTTTGTTTTGGTAATTAAACCACTGAAGTTCTGTAGAGTAGAAAACTTTCCATGTACATTTAAAGAATTCTAGTTCATGATGTATGATTGTCTCCACTCTGAGCTGGGGTGTTTGGGGGCAGTATCCATCAGTGTTAGGTGTCTTGACATCATGTAGGATGCAACATGTATGTTGTATGTTCAGAAGCAAGGCAGATGGGAAGGGGCACAGTGTATAGTAGGCAAGCACTGGGAGAAACATGTTGGGCATACTCCATATCTGAGTTTGAATTAAGCTTCGGTTGTTGGGCATTCAGAATCCTTTTACAATTGCCAACATTTTCATGGCCCTCAGAGTTACATGATTCCATTTGAGGTAATGACCCACAACTTAGCAACTGAGACCTAGAAAAAATTTTCAGCTATTATTTCTTCTAGTATTTGTTTGTCTCATTTTTTAAATGACCCTCACTGCTTGTATATTGCATAGTTTAATATTATCCAACATGTCCCTGAGGACTCTTCTCTTGATTTGTTTTTTTTTTTTCTTCTTGGTGGTTCATTTTAGATATAGTCTATTGTTATGTCTCCAAGTTGACAAATTTTTACTTCTACCATTTCCCATCTGTTATGAGTCATAACTGATAACTTTCCCAGATTGACAAATCACACTTGACTCTTCACTCATTGCTTTGGGACTTCTATTTTAGAATTCTTATCTCCTAATTTTGTCATCTCTGCCCTTCCTATCGAATGTCCTTGCTTTTATTGTGAATCTTCCTCCTGCTTCTTTTGTGGCCACTGATTTTTTTTTTATCATATATGAGATGCTCTTCAGTTTACAATGCTGGAGCTCTCGTTGTGCTATATTCCTTTAAGAAAAACTTGACTTTACAGTAGGTCAAGTCACTCAGGAGTTCCTTTCATCTGGCTGAACTTGATTTAGGCTCCTTTGGGGAGGGTCATGGATGTTTCCAATCTTCTAACATTGTGACATGATATTGCCACCTACAAAATTCATCCTGTAGAATGATGCAAAAGGTTTCTTTTTTTTGAAATCACATTAACATTTTTTAATGATTTAAGTAATTTTACAATTTTGTGTTAGGCCACACTCATAGTTACACATAGTTGGACACATAGTTGGACACAGGCGATAGAATATCATTTATTCTGGGAGGCATGTATGTACCAGGAACTCACTATTTAGACCAGGCTAGCCTTCCTTAAACTCACAGAAGTCTGCCTACATCTGCTTTAATTCAGGGCTTGGATTAAAGTCATTATTACTACTATACCTAGTTAAGAATATTTATTGCCTCACTTATAAGTCTTGGGCCTCTGATGTCTCTCCCAAATATCTTAATGCTTATTGAAATGTTTTCACTCTTGCTGGAGAAGACCCAGTTCCTTGTAGGCACATTTTGGAATTCCTTACCATAAGATGTTCTTTCATTTGTTCATTTTTTTTTTAACTTGTATGTATGTGTGTGAGCCTGCATGGGTGTCAGTACATCATATGTGTACAGGGGACCTTGAAGTTCCGAAGAAACACAAGGTCCCCTGGACACAACCCAGGTCCTGTGCAAGTGCACTGGAATTCCAAGCCAACTCTTCAGGCCCTGCAGGAAGTTTTCTTTCTCCTCTTCCTCCTGTGCTTGCCCAGGTTCATGGCATTTTACACGATGTATACACAAACTGGTCCAGCATCCTCATAAAGGGCACCATGTGCAGACTTCTAAAACTTACTTTGTATCGATTCCTTCTCTTTGGAGCTCTGTCCTGCAATTCTATCTATCCTCAGCCACCTGAACTCTTACCTCTATGCTCTTTTTTTTGTTTTGTTTTGTTTTTTGTTTTTCAAGACAGGGTTTCTCTGTGTAGCTTTGTGCCTTTCCTGGAACTCGCTTTGGAGACCAGGCTGGCCTCGAACTCGCAAAGATCCATCTGCCTCTGCCTCCCAAGTGCGCCACCACTGCCTAGCCCTCTATGCTCTTAACAAGATTGCCAGATCTGTGTGGTCTTCCTGTTTCTGGGATCTAACCTGGAAGTTACCTTAAAGGGAAATGGTAGGCCAATTGTTTCCTCTCAGTGGTCACCACTCTGAACTGCCTGCTATTTGCTATATTCCATCCAGTTTTCTTGTGGTGTGTGATGGTGTTTCCCAGTTCTCTGTTGTCCCAAAGAGAAGTTTTCCATTGTCTTCTTTTTTTCACAGGTGACACCTTCCCCACGAGGGCTGTATGCCAATGTTCTTGAGTATGGAAACACTACCTTCTACTTTCGCCAGCTAATTTCACTATATTCCTCTTGCTTTATTTTCTCCACAAGAATGATCACTTCGTAATAAACTATGACATGTGCTAATTTATCTTATTTATTGCCTGTCTTTCCCTCTATCCCCTTTTTACTAGAATGAAAGCTCTACAGGTAGGTATTTTGTCTCTGTTATTTATCAATGCACCCCCAGGTCCTGGAATAGTGCTTGGAATATCAATCAATATTATGACCAATGACGTTCTGTGATGTTGGAGTTTGACATGGAAAGTTCATGCCGGGCAGTGGTGGCCAGCCTGGTCTACAAAGTGAGTTTCAGGAAAGGCGCAAAGCTACACAGAGAAACCCTGTCTCGAAAAACCAAAAAAAAAAAAAAAAAAGAAAGAAAAGAAAAGAAAAAAAGAAAAGAAAAGCTCCCCAAATGCACGTTTTGAACTTTTGTTCCCAGTTAGTGATGGCACTTGGGGAGGCTGTGGAACATGTAGGGGCTGTGGCCTGGTTGGCAGACATAGGTCACTCTGGATGGGCCTTTGAAGGGGATGCCTAGGTTCTGTTCTCACTGTTCTCTAGTCTGCCATATTGTCAGGAGGCCCTGTTTCATACTCCTGCTGCTGTGAG